AATGGCGGGCGACCAAAACCGAAAAACAAAGTTGAAATAATCATATTTCCCGTGCGAATTTTGCGATTAAACTTGGCATGGTAAGTGTTTCTTACTTCTAGTTTCCAGAAGTGGAAAGAAAAGGCAATGCGAAATTTTGATCATAGTGGCACTTTAAATACATCATTAAACCTACTGAAAGATTTAAGGTCTGCCTTAAGCGAGTCGAGGTTTTGAGTAAAATGTACTCGCATATAGATACTTACTATGCTGTCTGTCTTTTAAGTCTTTTCTTTTGAGTTTAAACGTATTATCCAGGAACGGCTTGATTGTATTTACCTTCTCCTTGACTTCTATGTACGGATGGTTTTCAGTAAGATATACTACTTGTCTGATTGAATAAAATGGAACTTTCATCATCGTCTCTTTACTTGAAGTATGGCATCTCTACACAGACATAACTGCTTACACGGCTTATACATCGTTATTTTGTGATGACTCGACAAAAATAAGTGACAGACAGCTTGTAAAAAATGTGATAGCATATAATTCTCGTCTTTCTACACGATATGAATTCTAGTGAGTTTATCTACACCATCTTGAATATTAATGGTGCCAAAGGTCCCTTTTTGGTTTTGTGGTACATTTTGTGACCATTACACCACATTTTTACCTGCACCTACCAATGTATATTACCATCCAATTTTTATTTTAGCTAACACTAAAAAAATTAAAAAGTAATTTTTTAAACCGGAAATCGGAATTATATTAACAAACATAGGGTTGCATTTCAACCAGGTTAAAAAAGAAAACGTCGATCACGCAGGCAATCTCATAGCCGGCAAATAAACATTCCCGCGAACTAACCATGCGGCGAAACAAAACAATACTTGCCTGATTGACACAGAATGAAGGATTAGCGTCAAGTACATTAAGGAAATAGTAAATGGAGTGATCTAAGTGTTAGAATATTCGTTATCCCATCCTTCACTGGCTTACTTGGCAATATCGTCAACATTAACATAGAGTAGATCGTTGTATTTTTTTAAGTTTATCAACCCCTGTAAAAAAGAAAAACAAAAAAAAGGGAATAAATCAAGTAAAAGTGTCAGCTATATGAAACTTGCAATAGAGCCTCTTTTCAAATGACTTATAATCCTACGTAAAGAGAATGTTGTATATATATATATATATATACATTAGTTGAAGAATCAAAGAGGTCGTGCTATTCTCTGTTTTTTTCTGTTTTATTTTTTTTTTCTATTCACAGAGAATCGATGTGTCCTCTTTGATTCTTCAACTAATGTATACCCGGCTCTGCTAACGCAGCATTGAGCACTTAATGCCAAGGTAGACTCTACCGTCACATTTATATAGAACGCAATTATTAAGTACTTTTGACAGAGTAGAGTAGATGCAAAAATTTAATTTAAGAAAACCGAATACCACCTTTTGTTATCCAACTACACTTTTTAGAGTAAAAATTAAAGAACGCTCAAGACGAGTACAAATATAACGCTGTATTTGTACCTTAGAGAACCGGTTGGACAGGTTTTGTCGCATCGCGCCAGCGACGAATTGGATTGAAGTTACCAAAAAACAAAAAACAAAAAAAAAGCACAGAAAAATTTAATTGTCTTTCTGACGAAAAAGAGTCGGATTGGCTGGCAAATATTGATCCAAGTTTTTTTGGATTCATCGAACGAAGAAAAGCAGTTAGACGACGATGAAATGTCATCATTTATTGAGGAAAATAGAAACAGCAGCACGACAACGCGCCAATTCCGTTCCGCTTCGCATACTTTCGTCACTCTCTCCCCGTAAATAAATATGCGCCAAATATGGATAATATGCGAAATATGGATAATAGTAATTTGCGAAATATGGATAATAAATAACTTACAAGAAGTTTTGGTGTGTCAAATCCATGAGTCTCTTTGTTCGTTATTTGTACAACTCGTAAAAATACTCAGCGATACTACACAACCAAACGTCTAATAAGATATGCGTAGGTGCCACTATAGGCTTCGCTGATGGTTTAAGAGAATTTCCTGAAATAAACGATCGCTCCCCTTTCCGTTTCTTTAGAGCGGACTTTGGAATATTTGCAAGACTTTTGGGTAGAGTTCCAATGTATCATTTTACCCCAGAATTTAGTTAAAGTAACTTCGAAAACCGGGTAATTTTCATAATGAATCGTTTTACAGTCGAACCTGTATTAAGTGGTCACCCACGGGGATTCATACAGACTGAGCGCTTAATACAGGTTCCACGCAACAGAGATTTTGAAAAAAAGAAAAATAAGAACAAAGACAAAAACGGTAACAACAGCAACAAAAAGTACATGTAAAAAAAAAAAAAAAAACATTAAAAAAAATTAACAACGACAATTTGTGCCTTAATCGACCACCTTCCGTACAGAATCTCGCTCACGAATACCACTTCAATTATTTGAGTGATTCTCCATAAAGTGACCACTACAGATGAAAGAGCAAACAAGAACGCCGTTGGGACTTAGCAGAGGGTGACTTCAACCACGTGATAGAGTTAGGGACTTGGACAACTAGCCGCTTAATATAAAGAAGGTCGCGCTTAATATAGGGCCGATTTCATACGGTGTCTCTTAATGGAGGTTTCAAAAACAATTTATTGTAAAGTACAAAATCTGCCAATTTGAGTTTAAGGATATTCCACGTGTGCATCTTTGCATGAACGAAATCAAACTTATAACGATCACGTCTCGTTGTAAAGTCCCCAAATCTACCAAAGTACCTTGTGCTGCTTTTCCATTTTTTTTAGTTCGTTCCTCAAATTCTGAAAAGATGGCCTCAAGTTAGGGTCGTCTTTCCAACAGTTTGTCATTATTTCATACCTAGAAAAGAAAGATGTCAACAATATCTCAGTATATTAAGTATTTTCCTCAGTTAAGGCGTCATTAGCCTTTAAATGTTGAGATTTTTCTAACTATTCATTGGGAACGTTTGGTCCTTTCCCTGATGATTATAAGAGACAGACCCGTGATCACTTCCTCAGTCAGGCCTATCTGGTAGGTAGAATATGAAACTTTTGAGCCGCACATCCGACTGGAGCAAAACAAACAACCAGATTAAATAAGAGAAAAGGCATTAGGAAAAACAAACAAACAAAAAACAATTTCTTTGTCTCATACAACTTGTCATCCACGTGTTGTGGCTTTGGCATTCTGTATCCCTCCTCTAGCAACTTTGCGATCTTTATTCCATGATCCATCCTTGGATACGGTGAACCACCTAAAAGAGAGCAGCCACTCCAAGTACAAATGAATAAAGGCTGATAGTTTCTAAAGAAACTGTCTGGGGCTGCGTCGGTGGGGGTAACGAAATAATTTGAATATATCAACAAAGTTGAAATGGTAAATTGCCGACCGTTACGATTATGAAAGCTGACGTTTCGAGCGTTAGCCCTTCGTCGGAGCGAATAGGACGAAGGGCTAAGTACATTAACTGCGGTAATCTGAACTAGTTCGGCAGTTACGATACTCGAGATCAAGATCGAGTTCTCCAGAGACTGTACACCCTCAGCTGCTCACTACATGACTATATATGTAAACAAATGCTTATAATGAAATAAATGTCCATCGGCCTTCTTACTCACCAATTGTGAAAATCTCATAGAGGAGAACTCCGTAGCTCCACCTGTAAAGCAGCAAGAATGAATTTAGGGAAATAAACGTTCTTGTCTATAAAAAGCAGTTTTAAAGTCTTCGGGAAATTTTTGTGCGAGGCCCTCTATTCTCGTCATATAAGCTGATCTCGTGCCAGTACTTAGAAATTAAAGTTAGAACGTGTGTTACCACTCCTTCTGAATGAGATGATCCCATATCAATAAAATGTATTGACCAAGATCGATTTTTTTCCAGGCCTGAAAAAACTTCATCACAAGCGACGTCCATAAAGGCTACAAAATTATGTTTATTTGTCCTTGTACTCACACATCACTTTTCGTGGAATATTTTCCATATAGCAACGCCTCAATAGAAGTCCATTTTAAAGGGACACGTCCCTAAATCAAAAATACTTGGAATTTAGTGGAATAACTGAGGAAAAGAGCAGGAATGAAAGTCAATGTTAATTTTACTTATACTGGACTGATCAGGAATCTCAAGAAATGATTTGATATGTTGGACAGCAGCCAAGAGAGCCAACGATGTACGGATAATCTAGGATATAGACCAAAATACAAGCTAGCTAATTTCCATACCAACTTCTAGTTAAAAATCACCATGGTACCTTTGACTTCATTTGATAAATGTTGTCTTTTTGGACATCTCTGGCCAAACCAAAGTCTGTTACTTTGCACGTTTCCCCTTCTCCAACCAACACATTGCGGGCTGCAAGGTCTCGATGGATAATCTACAACAAATCAACTCAAATTAATGATGATGATGAAACGAATTGGAAAGATGGTCCAAAAAAAATTGAACAAAAACAAATTATAAAAAATTCTGACCAATGTCCGATCTCAGCAACATGTGCTTGAGTGAACATTCTCCAACTAGATCTAGCCTTCCCCCATACTAACTGGTATTGATGACAAATATGACATTCCATCGGCGACTTGCCAAGCAAACTTCATCAGCTGCTCTGAGGTCAGACTTGTTTGCGGTTTCTTATCTGGGTCTATGAAGTAAGTGTCATTTAATCCACGGCTCTTTCGCAGATATCCCAGTAGATCTCCGTATGGAACATATTCAATCAAAACCATCAATGGTCCTGTAAAACACGAATAGCGTAAAAATATCTTCAGTTTCTGGTGAGCACGAGATCTGCTCGATAATATTGTTTTGGATCACTTAAGAATACTTTTTCATATTTACCAGATTTTGTGACACATCCCAGAAGTTTAATGACATGAGGATGAGCATCGAGTTGTTTCAGCAATTCAAGTTCGGCCAACAAGTCCTACCTCTCTGAATTAGAAGCGTCAACTGCAAGATGATCCCCGAAAAGCTGTATGCTTTACGAACAGTAACAGTAACGTACAGAACCGAAACAAGCAACACATTTCTTATCTGAGCACTGTAATGCTCAGTGGTTGGAAATCGTATTTGAGATCATGCAGTCATGAAATGATCATAAAGTTATGAGATGCAGAAATGTATTTAATGAGACTGCTAGTTCGTGTGCAAAGCACAAAAAAAAAAACACAGAATTGGGAAGACAATCTTGATGCAGTGATCATGCGGGTTAGATTACACTCTGCAAGTAAATTTGAAACATTCTCAGTAAATAGATACAACGGTAAAACTACACATACTACTGCCACACCAGTATGATTATGCTTAACGATTTGGAATTTCCCACTGAGGTTAAATGTCGAGTGCCGACCGTCGTTATTTGAACTCGGAAAAGCGGTCTGTGGGTTGGAGTGAGGAGGTTGATTGTTGGGAAGAGAATTCGTATTTTACTCATAAACGATATTTTCGTTACGTTTGTACAGGAAAAAGAAAGATTTCTCATAAATTTAGAGGAAATTATACGGCTTTTCATATCAAAGAGTGCTGAACCAGCTGATCACGAACGTTCCAGTATTATGGTTTTAAGTGAAACCTCGTTTCAAATTTTCTTATTACCCTGAGCAACTTACTGAGCTCACATTCAGTTAAGAACTAATCAAAGAAAAGATACAAAAACGAACCTTACTGTTCCCTCCGGGAGGAGGTGGGGGAATTTGGCTTACCCTGTTTCTCTCAGTATCAAGAAAAATGCTGAATGTTTTGACGCTACATGCTGAAGGCTACTCCTCTTCAGGGGGGGAGGGGGGATGTTGCCTTTGGAATTTCACAGAAACGCAGGTACTCATTTGAAGTATTTGATACCTTTCAACATCTTAACAGCCACAAGTGTCTCCATTGGTCTTTCCTGGAGGCTTTTAACTGTTGCCCTGGCAACCTGAGCAAAAGCTCCCTCACCAATAACCTTTTCTATATTCACGTGCTCTGTAGGAATCTCCCAACAGCATGGTGAAGAATATAGAGAAGTGTATTCATTGACTGGCTGGGCCGGTTGTGGACAGTTCGCCTGCCTTGCATCTAGCATGGTTGATGATGGACCTCGCTCATTCAATCCCATGTACTGCTGGTTTCTAGGAGGTTCCGCAATTTCAAGCCCAGTCTTTGGAGTTAAAAGAAAATAACCGTAATCAGTAACTACGGCTGCATGGAAAGTCTTTGAAATCTTCCATTTTTATCATTTCATATCCCACTTTTTACAGTTTTCATGCGAATGTGCCTACATATTAACACAAATTACATTCACTTTTGTCTAAAGTGAACATATCTACTTATAGCCTTAGGAACAAAGACCATATAAATTACCATGAATTAAGACTGAACGTTGCCACAACATTTATATTCTGAGTCACATTTTTAATAACTAGACATCTAATTCATTGCATGCCTTGAATTATATATTGTATGATAGGGTCGTTATAGTTTTCTTATAAGATATATATATATATATATATAGTAAGTGTAAAACGATGAAACATGAAGCAAACTTCTAACTGTTCCAGCTTTCATGTGGCGACGTTTCGGCCTTCGGCCTTCTTCAGATGGAACGTATTTACATAAAAACTAAAACTAAAAACTAAAAGTCCTAGTAGGTTTACCGAATGACCTGAATTTATACTAAACGTAAGAAATATAAATAGCATTGCTTAATGCATCCCGGCCAGACCTAAATGATAGGATATAATAATGAGTAAAAGGCAAGAATGTGCAAGGGGCGAAATAATCACGATTGGTTGCGAAGAACTCAATTACATTGTGTAAATGATGCCCTAATTATGTATTATAGCGGACGCGATTTTTGGATCTGAATTCGCGTCTTTTGTTAAGTCCGTGGGGACTAAGTGTACACAGTTGTGCGGTCCAGTAGGTCTCTCTCGTAAGTAATAATCTATCAATATAAGCTGCGTCTCCTTGGCTGGTAATTTTCTCAATAATAATAAAACTAATTTCAGAAATCTCGTGTTTAGTACAATTGAAATGGACTGCAAGCTCGCACGTTTTTTTGTTTGTTCGCATAGATGACTTGTGGTTACGAAACCGCACCTTGAATTTAGTGGAAGTAGAACCCACGTATGTAAATTACATTTCTTCCACGAGGCCAAGTTTACTTGGCCTCGTGCAACTGTGTACACTTAGTCCCCACGGACTTAACAAAAGACGCGAATTCAGATCCAAAAATCGCGTCCGCTATAATACATAATTAGGGCATCAATTACACAATGTAATTGAGTTCTTCGCAACCAATCGTGATTATTTCGCCCCTTGCACATTCTTGCCTTTTACTGATTATTATATCCTATCATTTAGGTCTGGAATGCATTAAGCAATGCTATTTATATTTCTTACGTATAGTATAAATTCAGGTCATTCTGTAAACCTACTAGGACTTTTAGTTTTTAGTTTTTATGTAAATACGTTCCACCTGAAGAAGGCCGAAGGCCGAAACGTCGCCACATTAAAGCTGGAACAGTTAGAAGTTTGCTTCATGTTTCATCGTTTTACACTTACTTAATATTTTCATTGAAGCACTGTATCCTCCGCGGATCCTTCTACTGGGAGCTCATCGTTTGGTTTACCTTTTTATTCTGTTTATATATATT